TCTAAACCCACGTTACGCAGGGAGGGAGAGTCCATGCGAAAAATCGCACTCTATATCGGTCGAAATGAACGGTCAATTTTCTCGTTGGGATTTTTTCGCCTCGACTTGTTAAATGTACAAAACATATTTTGCGAAAATTGTCAGGTGAGGCTTAGCTATAGCTCATGGATCAAGAGGTTTAGGTGTATTTTTTTCCTGAAACAAGGTGAAACCAGTATTCATGTGCCATTAATCTTGCGAGCGTGGATATAATCCTGATGCAACTATACATGCTCTATGGATGTCGGTGTTGTATAGACGCTAAATTGAAGGCGCTTCGCAAAGACAGCACTGCCGCACTTGCATGGTGTCCCTTATCGACGGTAGAACGTTCTCGTTTGATACCATATGGAGGTATTTCTATCAAACGGAACTATATGTGCATTATGACGTGAGCCCTGTTATGCAAATATTCTTATGGGTTTCAGGGCTCATGTCTTAATGCACACAGTTCCGTTTGGCAGAGATACGTTCATATGTCAGTGAGGTCTAAATCTTGATGTACGGTAAAATCGTTTTTGAGCACTAGTAGTAATCAAGCATGTTGAGCCTTCTAAAATAAATAAGTTATACTTAAAGTTATCCCACCATCTTCATGAGAAATGATGATTAAATAATTCTGTCAAATGATAATACTCTAATATTACGATTTGATTACGAGTAAATATTTTATTAAACCACTAGTGAGAGATCTTAAAGGAAAAGTCGTGTAACCTGAAATGTTAGTTTCTCAAAATTCCAGATAAAATTTGACAGAAACCTTACGAATATCATAAATAATGATTCATGTAACATTCAGGGCTTTACTATCGCATCATCAGATAGCCGCAGTCGAAATGCGTATCTCCGATTGTGACGTTTTGAATTTTAGATTGTGTTTCATTTTTTAAAAGAAAAGCGAGCTATAATAGTTTGGTTAAATGTTTATGAGTGTTTTTTCTTATATTCCATCCAGCAAAATTCACAGAAAATTTCTAGGTGCTATTTTTGTTAATTTTTTTTGTAGTAAAATGAATAATTTTTATACGTTGCAATTAAGATATTTTTTTATACGTTGCATTTGAGATATATTTTTTTTATATGTTGCAATTGAGATACGCATTTTGTGACTTCAGCTTTGGACGTAGGTAATTTGTGCAAGATATTCATATAATACTCATCAATACAGTGATACCTGGCTCTCGATTTTGAGTTTTTCGATAGCCATGCAGGGCCTTTTTCTTCCGGGGATGAAGGTCTAACTATAAAAACGCAATAGTGTATTTCCTTCGGAAAATACACTAAAACACAAATCTCGATGGCTATGTTTCAAAATCGACGCTTCATTTCTTAAAAGCCTAGGTCTTAACACTAACTTCAGTGCCGCCTGAAGATTGGGATCTCTTTTTCAGGGTGATCGAGGGAATGCTTTACCGGTAGCAGGGTTGTTTTATCAGCCTTGCAGTGGTGCTTAAATTAATTCAAAACAATTCAAGGATTTCTCCACAACTTGACAACCTGTAAATGTGCTTATTAATCTCTCGCGACACTCAATGAAGTCGTGATCCTTTCATACTGCACGATGAAGGTCTCGCAATTTCGGTTAAAGTTAGGTATAGCCACGAGGAGCCTAGATCTAGCTCAGCTGGAAATAATTTTCGTGAGGGGGTGGAGTCCGAGTCCTATTTTGGGCAAAAATCGAGGTTGATCCTTTGATCCCGCCCCGTCGACGCACAATGAACCGAGGCAATGGGAGAGGTCGGACAATAATTTTTTGCACTAAAACCGCATATTTCGATGTTTATTTCGTCAAATTCCCAAGTTTTGAAAGGGTTTTCTTCAAGAAAACTATACGAAAAATCCAATGGGATCATTTTTAGGACCTCGTAATTTTGTAAACACGGAGTTAGGAGCTTTTAAAGTTTTCAAATTTTGTCCGACCTCTCACATTGACTCGATCCACTGTGCGGCGCAACCTGGAAGCCAGATCCAGTTGGGATTATCACACAGCTTTGTGCTCTCACCGTATTCGATGCCGCCAAAACATTCGCGAAAGGATAGCGCGGGATGGCTGTTGGCTTTCGGGACGTAAAAGTTATCAACGAAATGGGTTGGTTACGTGTCGAGTTTCTCTGACGTTCCTCGGGATTTTATTGAATACCTTCAAAGAGACGAAAAAGGAGGTGGTGGTTATTCTTAGATTCGCTCGGCTTGTGATGTCATCGATATCGAGCATGCAGTATGGCTCCAACAAACTGATTCCGAAATATTTCGTAAGCCGTAAGTCTTCATATATCGTCGCTCCTCTGACATGAGGGCGTGTCTATATCTCCGCGTGAGCCCTGGAGAACATTGGGTCATACGGAGAAAAGGAGTCACGCGGAAATCGAGATACGCCCGTACACTGAAAAAAAATTTTCGGCGTTCTTACCACGGTCCGTTGGTACCTTTACCATCTCACTTTTTTTTACCAATTATTGATAATTTTACCAAGACAGACTGGTAAGCTTACCTAAAAACCGGCATTTTTACTGTTATTTTCAGGTAAGAATACCACTTTTATTGGTAATCAATTCCCGGTAACTTTGCCATTTTATCTCGGTAATTCTACCACAGTCGATAAAAATATTGGCGTTTTTACCAAGGTCCAGTAAAATTACCGAGAAAGTTCAATAATTTTACCGAGATTTCTCGGTAAAATTACCAATTCCATAAACGGTAATTTTACCAAGAAAAAACTGGGATCAAATAGAACCCTGAATTCTTGGTAATTTTACCCTTTTTTTAGTAAATACACCGAGATTTTTTTTCAGTGTATGTCAGAGGAGCGACGATATGTATGTGCGGGTTCGCGCTAGACGCGAAACTCCAGCAAAGTTTCATCGATGTTCGATTGTCTGAAGTATAGCATAATTGATTGTTTTTTTTTTTTTTCGTGTTGAGTTTCTTAAACATGTCAAAAAATCTGTTACGTCAGAATTTTCCCCGAAAATTCGAATTTCTCAAAGGAATGGGATTTTCTGGGAAATATACCATTTTCTGGAAAGATGGTAAAGTGGGAGTGCACTTTTGGATCCAGCAGAAATAACACTTAGAAATTTAACTTGTTTGAGAACTCTGCTCGCTTCCTCGGAAGTCAAAGTTTTTTCGATTCTACTCTCCAATTTTTTGTTTTTTTCCGCCGATTTGACACAACAACTTTATCGGAGGATTTTTCGTATAAATTGAAGGGTGAACAAATATTGATCGGTGTGAAGCAGGATGTATATCTCGCCCGCATGTACTTTTAGCTGCTGAATCCGACAATCACCTTAGTTTCTTTTCTTTTCTTTTTCCCCCTTTTTCCCGACACCGACACATGCAATTTTTTGAGGAAATCGAGTATTTTTGAAAACGCTTTTTTTCTCTCCGAGACAAACGCAATCCTTTTTCACGCAAAACTACATCGAATCAAGAGTTGCAGGATGTTCAGTGAGTGAATTATTTCAAAACAGATCGTTCGACTAAAATGATTCCTCTATCAGAAAGAGAAATCAAGATTTTTAGGTGTGCGCAAGATAAACCAACTTTAAAACTTGTACTACTTTTTAACTTGTGTATTTTTTATACTAAAGCCAATAATGGACTTTTTGGGCGCTTTCATATACCAGTTTTACAATAATTGAATTAATACCCAGTACATCCTGACGTGATGTGCTTTTGTGCGTGCATTTTTCCCGATCTGAACGCTCAAACATACATAGGGAGCAATTATGCTAATTTGGACACTATGCCATGATCAAAAATTAGCATGGCCGTGGATCATATATTAGTCGTTACATTTGAATCAAGCTAAAAAAGAGACAGCTAAAGTAGCGAGCAACGTCATTTTGATGACCTAGGAAGGGACGGGTACGGTGCGGCGTGGCACGCTGCCACTAGCTTACAATTAGCGAGGACAGCAAACGCCTTCAGTTTTTTGGGTATGCAATGCGGACATCCAAAGAGTACGTATAGTTGTATCCGATCGTTGGCATCACATTTTGCCTTCGTCACGCTTGCCGTTCGAGGAAATATCGATGCCTGCGAATAATTTAACTGCCATGATCGCAAGCAGATGAACAGTGTAATCTTATTTCAGACAGAGTCTATCAAAATGAATTACATTCAAAAATTTCAGAGCAACAATTTACAGCAATATTCGAAGGAAGGAGTGATTAAAATTGTTGCGCATCCGCTGAATGTTTATTTTTAGCCTCTGAAAAGTAGACTCTCAAACATGTGTAGACTTTGCAAATGTTGGACCTTGCCATGCTATCTAAAGGAGGGGTCATTACTTAAAAAACTTCATAATATACTTTGGAGAGCAACTTGTTTAAATGAATGAGCCTTGCTTGCTGGGACACTTTCGACTGGCCCACAACTACCGTCAAGGAACCGCATTCTGTCGTCAGTATCTCATTTTATTTTGTTCAGAGCAGAGGCGGATCCAGCAATTTGACAACACCGAATTTCCTTCATCTAAGCCTATGTTAAATAATCGATTCTTATCGGAGCACCTGGCCCCTTTTAGAATCGATACATTTCCATAGGTCCAAATGGAGCAAAAACAATGTTGCCAATTCGTTGGATCCACGAATGGTTCAGAGTGTCATAACCCCGAGATGGTAACAATCACCTAGAGGGAATGTGTTTTCAACCAGTGTAGCTTACTGCCGTGCTAAGGAAAAACGCCGTACGAACCTTCGTCAGTTGCCAAACTTCCTTCAATTAGAAACGAAATTTCAGGAAAACTTGTGAGTATTTTCTGTTCAATTTTTCAGAGAATATCCTACGAGATTAGATCTAAACTATCTAAAAATCTCAAGCAAAAATATTCATGACCCTCCTCAAAAAGAAAAAATTCGTTGGAGGAAATTTGGCAACTCTCGAATGTTCTTACGGCGTTTTTCCTTAGGACGGCAGCGTACTTAATGCGAAAATGAACAGGAGATCATACTCACCATACGCACATCACCCAATACGGCGTCCAACACACAAAGAACACAACTACGATTATGACTGTCATTTTCAGCGTTCGTATCCGAGCTCGGCCTAAAAATCCCAGCCCGGATCTTCTTATGTTATCTGTGAACAAAACGAAAACCAAAATGAAAGGAAGGATCGTGAAGGATCGCCAACAGAGGCGGATCCAGCAATTTGGCAACAATGGATTTCCTCCATTTAAACCTATGCTAAATAATCGATTCTTGTCAGAGCACCTGGCCCCTCCAAGAATCGATACTTTTCCATAGGTTTAAATGGAGGAAATCCGGAGTTGCCAAATTGCTGGATCCGCCAATGGCGCCCAAGTAGCAGTGATCGCGATAAGTTGCGACTTGATCGGCGAATGTATCGCCCTATTATCGACGTCGATTAGTTGCAGTATTATCGGTTGAGAAATTGCAATTTCATCATATCAATTTGCAAAGAAGCTAGCGAGATTTTATTGACGGCGATTTATCGCATTACTATCGAACGAAAAATCGAAACAAATTGAGATAAACTTTCGATTTTATCGAGCGCGATTTCATGGAGATAAAATTTCGACAATGTGGATGATCGCTCAGATCAGGTATTGGTGATCCCAGCGATTTCATCGCCAAAAATAAACGTAAAAAATTGCAACTTACCTCCAAAATGTCTCTTTATACGTATACATCTTATTACATCTTTATACATCTTTTCTTTTTGGTATAATCTAAAGATTTTTCCATTTTCCTGAAAATTTACAGTGCATGGAAAGAACAGTTTCTATTTTATAAAGTGTTAAGTTCCAAAAAATGCAGGAAAATCTGGATGGATTAACGGCGGTTTTGCTAAGCACGGCAGTGTTTATAGGAGTGGATTACGAGACTTTCGGTTATGTGGTTCGTTTTCCTCGTGAAATTTGAAGAGGAGACTTTCTACTTAGCAGTTCTGTAGTAACTCATACCTCGTCTAGTAGCCCATTGGTCGGCTCGAAATTGTATAATTTGATAAATTGGCAAATTTATTCATCCACAAGGCAACATCTGCGTTTCCCGCAAATGCGTAAAATTTCAGCCTCGCTCACATCAGCGGGTAAACAGGGCTGAATTGAGACCCAAAATCTGCATAAATCATCTCACCTGTGAAGTGTGCCGTGATCCCTTTCCTCTCGGGAGGACAGTGGCTAACACGTGGTAAGCCCTTCAGGCCGTCTTAGTTACACCTCTCAAAGGGATCCCTCAGGACCGTCGAGTCGACTTACGACCGGATCAAACGGGCTGTCCTTTAGCACTGTGAAAACTCTTCGCTTTGCGGTCTACGAAGCGGATCGCGCCCCTTTTTCAAGCCTTCTCACCTTCTCGTATGGACGCATTTATGCTAAAAGGAACTATGTGTATACGGTTTGCGTGAGACATAGTTCCTTTTGGCTTAAATACGTTCGTATTCAAGTATTCAAATGACGCATTTCCGTAGCGTGGCAATAATATATGGACCGCGTTTAACAAAAAGGAACCAAGCCACATCAGTTATTGCCAAATTTAGCTGGGCAATTTAATTTTTTATGAGAGAACTTTTGTGCGGATTCCTTTGAAAATTGTAGGGAAATTGTTTCGAACTATGGAGAAAATTCACTGAAATTTGCACTAAAATCCGCACAAACGTTTTTATGGAAAAAATTAAATACCTGATTAAATTTGGCAATAGCTGATGTCGCTTGGTTCCTTTCTGTTTGACGCGGTCTATATATGAGTCGTTACTTACGATGAGCATGCGTGGGAGACGGAAAATCTTTAGTTCTTTCGTCGCGTCGTTCCTCGCATGAACCCCGGGGAACATGGATTTATATGTAAAGCAAGGTTCACGTGGAAATTAAGATATGCCCTTACGCTTGAGGAGAGACGATTTCCCGAGCTCTTTCATCTTGTTACGGGATTGGACCTCAAGCATGCCTTTTCCGGATCGCGTCGAAAAGGCGAATCTTGATTTCTCTCAACGGTCAGCGAAAGGTTTCGCAGTGTCAGCGGGCGCACGTTAACAATGTCGAGTTATCTGCCGTGTGTAAGAGAGCCGTAAGTGCGATACAGAAGTTTAGAGGACAGAGGCGGATCCAGCAATTTGGCAACACCGAATTTCCTCCATTTAAACCTATGCTAAATAATCGATTCTTGTCAGAGCACCTGGCCCCTCTAAGAATCGATACATTTTATAGGTTTAAATGGAGGAAATCCGGTGTTGCCAAATTGCTAGATCCGCCAATGTCGTTTTTTTCATTTCCGTTTGAGGAAATGGGCTGAGAAGCGTCTGACCGGAAAATTTTATCGAAAGATGCTTTCCGTTCTCTGTCAAATTGCCACCAATTATACGAAAGACTCTTAGAAATTGTTAGGGTGATTAAAATTAGCCTGATATCATTTCAAGTACATAATTAGGGTATTGTCAATTTTCATGTTAGGCCAGTGTTAGGCAAAACAACCGTAAGTGCTATCTTTTTTTTCTTTTTTGGGAGGGAATTTTATTTAAATGTAACGTAATTACAACAAATATTACCTTGTATCTATATACATGGTTTAAAACTAAAACTAAACTATCTAAACTATCTTCTGCCTGCTTTCGTGTTTGCGCTTTGGACACACAACAAATACATTTTCCGGTTAGAAATCGGCCTGCCCTGGTAAAAATTGGCAGTAGAATCTGTGTTCCAAAATAACATAGACCTACAGCCGGCTGTAAGATTTCCAATAGCTTCTATAGCCAGCAACACAATTTCTTGTAGCCTTTTATGGCCGATGGCGATTAAGCAACAGCCTGGCGATAAAGTGTGTGCTAAACGTTACCAATTACGGATGCTAGGACTTAGTGCGTTATTGTACTACCGCTCTCTTTTTGGGCCGCAGTATCTTGATTTAATTTGCGAGGAAAGCTCCGTACTTTTGAAGGATGCCTGCCATTCCTAATATGTTGGAGCGCCTTCAATTTCGTATGATATTGTGCAATACCTCTGGTGTGAAATAGTTACCTCAAGCGCCGCGGTACGCTGCGGCGCGGCGGGCGGGCAGCCAGCGCTGAACGCGCATTGGCGCCTACAAACCTAACAGGGATACTTCACGCATTGCGCAATGCGTGAAGTATCCCTGTTAGGTTTGTAGGCGCCAGTGCGCCGCTTTGTGTTAGGCTCTAATATTTAATCTCACGGAGTCAGCGTTTTTCAACTTATGACTTTGAAATGTTTGCACACTCTGTTTGAATTATTCTCATTTGAATTGATGAAAACAAATATGTAGTAAAGGAAAATATAATGTGCGTTTTGTAAATATTAAGGTGATTCCGTACAAACTTAAGGATTTACAAAGCACAAGAATTTCTACACAATTTCTTATAGCCTTTTAGAGCCGATGGCGATAAAGTGTAAAGCCCGGCGATAAAGTGTAAAGCCCGGCGATAAAGTGTAAAGCCCGGCGATAGGAACTATAGCCCGGCTGCATAATTTTTTATCGCTTCGTGTAGGCCGGCCGTATGATTTTTTCCACTTCCTACAGCCAGCTATATGATTTTCTATCGCCCTCTTCAGCCGGCTATAAGAACTCCTATGGTATTTTGAAACGCAGCTCCTATCGCCAATTTTTACCAGGGTGCAGAAGAGGATGGCATTTTATTTGGAAGCACTGTTTTCATTGGTTCTCCGGAGGAATAATGTCACTTACAGCTGTTCTGTTTGAAGCTACGTCATTTTTGGCGCACTTACGACTTTCTCATATGTCACGTTTTCATAAAAGTAAGATGAATTTTGCTGGTTTAGCTACTTCCGTGATTTCGTCTAAGAGAGGATCAGACAAATTTGAAGGAAACTCGATTTCGTAAATTTGACAGTTACAGCTCTCTTCGCTATCGCGGGAGTTATAGTCTAATTCTCGTGGCCAAGTGGCGGAAGTAATTGACCTGAACTGCGGCGAGTGCACTCTGAGTATTATTGCCGACGCTTGCACGAAGAATCTCCATTTTTCGGGGAGACATCAAATTGAGGTTGATAGACGCCTCAGGTTTCAGTTGTAGGAACGATTAACAAGCGATCAGGATTTTTACTCAAAATGCAACTTATGATTTTAAATTGGACGTATTTCTATCAAACGGACCTAAGCTTCATAGGGTGAGGAAGGAAAAGGGGGGCTTGGATTGGCGGCGGAATCGAGCGTCCGGCTTATTCCGTCCTATACTCGCAATGCTTTTCCAAGGCGCCTAGGTCCGTTTGACAGAACGCGCTATCCGGGATTCTGAATTCCCCAAAAGGAACTCAAATTGGCGCTTAGTTCCGTTTGATAGAAATACGTCCAATTGAACGTATTTCTGCCGAGCGGGACTACGTGCATTATGACATGAGCCCTGTTATGCATATATTCTTATGAGTATCAGGGCTTATGTCTTAATGCACATAGTTCCGCTCGGCAGAAATACGTCCAATTTTGACCCAATGTTCTTGAGAGAATTATAACGCGCTGAAAACTGAAAATCGATATTTTGACCCCAATTAGGTTTTTTCGCTGAGCCGAACAATCTGATTCTCCGCCATTGGGTTTATTTTGGCTGACTCCATCACATCGACGGTGAAATTAACAAACCAGATATCTCCATTGCATAGTCTCAAAATCTCCTTTCCTCCTTCCAGCGAACGGACCAAAATCGTTCTTCGTAATTTTCATAAATTGGACGTATTTCTGCCTAACGGAAGTATGTGTATTATGACGTGAGCCTTGTTATGCATATATTCTTATAGGTCTCAGAGCTCATGTCTTAATGCACGCACATAGTTCCGTTTGGCAGAAATACGTCCAATCGACATGAGTCCTGAGATCCATAAGAATTGCACACATGACAGGAATCATGTATCAATGAATAAGTTCCTCTTGATTTAAATGCCTCCAATAACACCATTCTGCTAACCCCAAGGCTCTCAAAGGAAATCAAATATTTCCCCCGCAACATGGCAACGCCCTGTAAATTCATTATATTTTGACTCCTCCGTCATCGGATCCGCATCCGGCCGCCGATTTCCTATTTTCTTGGTGGCGCCCTCCTCAAATACTGCTATGCTGAGGAAAAATGCCGTAAGAGCCTTCAGACGTTGCCAAATTTTCTTTGGAAAGACACAAGTTTTCTTGGAAACTAGTTCAGATTTCCCCAAATTTTCAGAGAATTTGGTTTGCAATATTGGACCTGAGGTATCCGAAAATTCCAGGGGGAAAAATTCGTAATTTTCCTGAGAAATAAATATTTTATTGGGGGAGTTTTGGCAACATTTTAATGTTCATACGGCGTTTTTCCTTAGCACGGTAGAAATCAACTCCGACTCATTTAATGAGTATCGCGATTCCCTGTTCGCTTCCGTTGTGCACCATCCGATTGCACTTCGTCGCCCTCCTGACGCAAGGGCGTAACTACACTCTGCAATGAACCCTGTCGTCCATACAACTCAATGCTATTCCGGGTTCATCTCAGTGTGTAGTTACGTCCTTATGTCAGCCGAGCGACGACTTAATGTGCTTAGATGACGCATTGCGGAGCGGCCCTCTATCGGCATTACGGAACTGGATCGTGTGTTACGGATTTTATTCCTGATTGGCCCTAACAGGAGCCGCCGGAAAATGCCCGGAAAACACCCGGAAAACTTAACCGTCTTGGATCGAAAAACATTTTCTTTCTTTCTTTTCCTACTCGCTCCGTCTTTACTTTTCTTGGCTGGAAATCTGCAGTCAATACCAGTGTTCGCCATACTACCAGGCTAAGGAGAAACGCCGTATGAACATTCGAGAGTTGCCGAATTTCTCCACGTAAGACATGTAATTTTAAGGAAAGTTACGCATATTTTTCCGTGAAATTTTCAGATTTGTTAGATCAAAATGCGAACACTGTTATCTGAAAATGTTGAAAAAAAATATTCAAAATTTTTTCCAGTAAATTTGTTTTTTAGTAAAATAAATATGGCATCATTTAAAGCTCACACGGCGTTTATCCTAGCACGGTAGCAAAGTAGAGTTTGTTTTTGGTAGGAGGGTGTACAATCCAAAATTTAATTTTCCCCCAGTTTTGACCCTCTGAAAGGCACGTTCATATGTTCTGATAATTTGTTTTTATTTTGGAAAAAATCAGAACAATGTCTCTAAATTTTTGTCTTTACATACGCACATAAGAGCCTCTAGCACCCTGTGAAACCTAGCCACTGCAGTCTTTTGGGGAGTTGGCACTCCCTTATTTCTGCTCATTTTTGTCTTTACTTCAAGGGATCATATAATTTTTTCCTTTCCAAATAACAGAAATGAGTGATTTTAAAACTTTTAAGACTCTTTGAGGACCTACTTTTGTATACCGAAGAATGGCTCCATTTTCCTCCACATCCTTAAAAAAGTCTAAATTTTCAAATTAGCTCAAAAGGGTAGTAAAAATTTTCCCACCAAAAAATTTGTATTGAAACGCTAAATTAAAAAAACCCCATTCTTTGGGCACTCCAGAACATTTTTAGTCTTCCTGTATGAAGCGAAAATAGCTTTTCGCTCCCTCTGTACTTCGGTTCTGTGGACTTGAGCCCCTTCACCAGAAATCGATTCAACGAGGAATGAAAGCCGCGATGGTCTTTTTCTTTTTGAATCTCATCAGCAATGAATTACGAGGTACAAAATGGATTAAAGTATCAGGAAAACTTTTTAAGTAAGCGGAAAGGAGGAGATTGGGGCCAAAACCGACGGTTATCAGTTTCGAATGTCAAACAATCTTTGTGAAAATTCCGAGAACAAGGGCGCCAAGTTTCACTCCAGAACTTCAGCGCTGAACGTCTTGAAAACGGATTCTCTGATAACCGGATGACAATTTGAAAGGTAAAAGTAACAAAACAGTATATTTGTTTTCCTCGAAACAGCCGATTTCCATCTACAAACTTCGAATTTATCTTTTGTCTCCACCTTCTGAAATCCCTATCGTTCAGCGGAAAATAACAGAGTGCAGTAACAACGTGAGCAATGGAAGGTTTTCCATAGCTTTTCTTTTCTTTGACGAATAAGTCCTCTGATTACGATATATTTTTGAGACGCTTTTTGAGAGACAATACGAAGAGTTTGAATTCATGTTGAAGGGCTGTCTTTTGGGCACCGTCAATTTTAGTTTAAAGTGGAGTTCTCAGTTTAATTTTATGTTTTTTGCACGCTTTCATCCTTATAAGCGGATCCAGCAATTTTGTTAACGCCTGGATTCCTCCATTGAAACCAATGTTAAATAATCGATTCTTGTCGGAGCACCTGGCTCCTCCAAGAATTGATATATTTCCATAGGTTTAAATAGAGAGAAACAATGGAATCACGGACAGTAGGTCTACGAAAAAAAGGTCTACTGAAAAAATGTCTACATTTGTTGGTCTACATGCAGTCAAAATGTCTACAATTAAGAAGTCTACTTTTAAAATGCCCAAGAAAGTAAATGTCTATATATAACGCGTCTATTAAAGGAAAATGAATACAAGATGATTCTTCTCCATAGATACAACTAAATAGGTAATTGATGTGAATTCAATCTACCTATTCGATTCAGAAGTGATTTTTCTGAGTACGGACTTTTTTTTTAGGAGACATTATTATTTGTAGACATTTTCGTAGTGGACTTTTTAATTCTAGACATTGTAACCGTAGACCAAAAAATGTGGACTTTCTGCTTGTGGACATTTTTGCTGTAGACCTTCTGTCTGCATACCAAACAATGTTGCCAGTTTGCTGGATCCACCAAGAACGAAAATTTTCCAGATTTGCGCTATCAGAAGACGGGAGCATGGATTAAGTCGGGGATCGAATACCTGTGGATCTGGTTTGGCTGCGACGGTAGATTTCGGCGATGATGGAGCCGTAGCTGGTGATGATGACGACCAACGGGAGGCAGTACATCATGATCATGCCGAAGTAGTAGTAGGCGTGCTCGTGGAACGGCGTCGGGAACGAGTGGTACGTCACGCACTGCTCGTACCACGTCGCGTTCGGGTGCTTCTCCACGTGGAACACGTAGCTCTGCAAAAACAACATAACCTTCCTATCAAAGGTCTATCAAATCTAGGCAATCCCACGCCTTAGTCCCAGGCGAATCAGCAATGGAGATGTTGCATGTGTGAGGGATTTGCGATTTGACCATTGATTTTTATGTAAAAGTTCGCGAGAAACACGATGGTGCCACTGGTTTTCTCTGAAATCATCTCCCAAGCTCAAAAATAGCTCTCAAAGAGAAGCCAAAATGGAGGGGATATCCCACCGTACCCTGAGAGTCCACTTCTACATCAAAACAAACTCTCCATGCAAAGATAGAGAGCAAATACATTAGCGGGGTTGCCGTGTTTTTAGTTTTGGAGTCCCCAAATAAAATGGCAACCCTGTCATTGCATTTGCTCCCTATCTTTGCATGGAGAGCTTGTTTTGATGTAGACGTAGACTCTCAGGGTAGGGTGGGATATCCCCTCCATTTTGGACTCAACTTGAGAGCTTTTTTTGAGCTTGGGAGATGATTTCAGAGAAAACCAGTGGCACCATCGTGTTTCTCGCGAACTTTTACATAAGAATCAACAGTCAAATCGCAAATTCCTCACACATGCAACATCTCCATTCGACGACGGGACTCCCGAACCACGTATCTTGTTTGCGGTGTTAAAAATCTCCGCCCCTGTTTTATTTTCGGTGTGGAAAACAAATCAACATCATTCCAGAAAGTTTCCTCAGAATTTGTTTCGCAAACAGAGTAAAATTTATGGAAGTTTTTTAGAATTAACGTTGAATAGATCTCCATTTAAAAATAAATAATAAAGGGAAGTCTGCAACGTTGCAAACTGAGATACGTGGTTTGGGAGTTTCACCATTGATTTTCCATTCTTATCCTGCCTTGCTTTCCTTGCTTTTAAGCTCTATTATTTGATACTGTGATTATTCTAACGCGAGTTCAAATAACCGCGCCAAACACAGTGCGGCCAGTGCGACGTTAAACGTATATTAGCGCCTGCAAGACTTCAGGAATACTTCATGCATTGCGCCGAACAGTGCGGTCGACGTAAGGCCCATACCAGCGCCTACAAGACTGCATGAATACTTCCCGCATTGCGCCAAAGAGTGCGGTCGGCGTAAGGCCCATATTAGCGCCTACAGGACTGTCTGGATACTTCTCGCATTGCGCCAAACGCAGTGAAGTCGGTCAGGTGGCGTGATACGCATATTAGCGCATATTACAAGACTGTAGACTGTAGGAATGCTGTGGTACTGCGTGTCATCATTCTTGACTTTCTGCTTCAGTTTCCACTATGATTGAAGGGAAAATATGTATCCTAACTGTAACGGTTCAGAAACTCGGATGATATTTATTTATTTATTTTTTCTGTTACATTAAAAGAAAATAGAATAACGAAAATATCGTGTCGAAATTTTCGATACTTTTGAGATCAATTAGGTAAATTCGCGGACACCTTTCAGGAACTCTGTGTGTAGCGTTTTAAAAACATTTATTAAAAATAAAACATAAAAGTGGTGGCGTCTATTAGTGATTTCATATTTGGCAGTATCGCTGCTGATGTTGGTACAATAATTAATTAAAATTTTTCCGCTAATATTGCCGAGCAATATTGCAAAATTAAGTATTACTATATTTGTCAGAATTCGACTACAATACGAGCCATGATTGATAAATATCCTTTTTGCGAAGTGGCCCTGTTTGTTCTATTTGGACCGCCCTAATCAGAAAAGAACCTAGCCACATCAGCTTCTGCCAAATTCAATCGGGCAATTTAATTTTTTATATGAAAACTATTGTGCGGATTTTTGTGCAAGTTTCAGTGGATTTCCTGAATTGTGCGAAGATACTTCCCTAACATTTTCGAAGAAATCCGCACAATCGTTCTTTTATAAGAAAGTAAATCGTCCGGTTAAATTTGACAGTGGCTGATGTGGCTTGGTTACTTTCTGCTACACGCGGTCCATTCAGGCCTATCCGATGGATTAAAGGAATTTTTAACTAGAGTCGTTCTCTCAACCATGGTTTTTAAAGTCAATATAGCGTAAAAGCTATGTACAAAAACACACATAGTCAAAGGATGCAATGCGACGATTGCAACATTTTAAGGGAGGATTGGCTTTGAGAATAATCAAACTGGGAAGTCACTTTGGTGCAGTTAGGGGATGGAGGGATTCCTTCTGAGAAATCGTCCAGCTTTTAACTTTTGAAAGGGAAATTCTTAAGCGATTTCCGGTACTTAAAAAACATTTTCGTTTCCAGCTTTGGCTCCATGCGGCTTTCCAGGGTGGAAACTGCCATTTCTATTAAATATTCATTGTAAGACTCGTCTTGACGAGGTTTTTGGTCTGTACGTACGTAACCTAGATCCCGAGGAATTTTCTCTCCTCTCCCTTCTTCTTCTCTCTTTTCTCCTCTCTTTCCCCTCTATCTTTCATTTTACTTGCTTCGTTCCTCCAATTCTTATTTCTTCAAAGTGAGGTGACTGATTCAGCGGTCCCAAGGGCTTACTTTGAAATCTTCCGGTGGACCGGTGGGCCAGTCCACGACTCACAGTGGGTCGAGTCAATGGGAGAGGTCGGACATGATTTAAAAACTTTAAAGGCATTTATCTTCATTATTAAGAAATGTTGATGTTTTGAAAGTAGTTTCATTGGTTTTCTCGTAAAATCATCTGTGAGAAGCACCCCTTAAAAATAAACTTGTGACGAGAATTTTTGACAAAAATTTCATGTCCGATTTCTTCCAAAGACTCGCTCTACTGTGCGACTGCGCTGCCAATCTCTAGAAAATCCTCTTCATGCCCCGTTTGTAGCCTTGTATTTACTATTATCAACTAGCTACATCCCTATCCCCCTCCCTCCGTAGTTTCTGAGACTCGGCTCACCGCGATAACGAAAAAGTGCTGACGATAAAAAAACCTGAGTTACTGAACAGCAACTGAATCCGTAATCCGATGAATAATTACCTTCTCCGATGTAAATGCGCAAAACACATAATTTGAAGTGCGACCGTTGAATATAATCAAATTGAGTTTTTTACCCCGTGCACTAAGCACGCGGTCATTGAACAAATGGACTGTATTTTGCAATTAGGGACTACAATTTCTGGATCATCCATAAAAACTCGTGTATGCATAAGGAAAGTAATGGCAGGTAGGATGTTTTTAAACCTCATCAGTAGATCACTCTCGCCAGTGAACCCAACTTAGCATCCCGCAAAATCCAAGACGGCTTCGAAACGCCGTCATGATGAGGTGACTGATGTGGTCTACACGGACCAAAAACGTTATACTTATATCTCTTAGCCTGACCTCCACTCAATATTCCAATACAAGCTGCCTGAGTTGAATACTATTCTCCTTAGTCTTGTATTGGTACTTCATTAGAGCTCAACATTTTTTACTATACGAATTTCTCTCGAAATTTCTGAAATTTCTGGTTTTGTTTTCCCCGCAGAATTGTATGGACCCAGCACCATTTTACCACTTTGTTTCTTTATGTTTTTCTCGCTCCGTTTTAACTTTATATAGAGTAATAGACCCATTGAATTTAAATAATGCGAGGGGTTTTGAGATGGTTCGATTTACCTGAGGGGCGCTACAAATAATTGATCCAATCCACGCGGCAGTCAGCATCATTTTCCCCCGCCGGTCGACTTGAGATATATCCAGAGGCCTCAGCACCGCGAAGTATCTGTTCAAACAGGATTTTTAATAATTTTAGTCATGCATGATCCATTTAGTGGGTGATGAAGGAATACTACATGGGCCAAAAACAAAAAATGAAGCAACACAAGATAAGTTTCTTCCTTAAAATTATACATGCAAAACACGTTGGACGCATTGGACTGCATTTTGCAATTTGGAACTATAAATTCTGGCTCTTATGAAAAAAACACTTATGTGCATAGTGAAACTAATGGCACATACGTCGCTTTTTAACCGGGCTAGAATTTATAGTTCCAAATTGCAAAATGTAGTCCCATTGATGCAGTGGCGAAGCGTGAAACGTCGACTATTGATATCATCCCATTTAAATCCATGGCAAAGAATCGATTTGAATGTTCGTTGCCAACTCCGCGATAATCGATCTTTTCCATAGCTTTAAATGGCAGATCAATCGACTCATCGCACAGGAAGCCACGTCACCGTATTGAAAATGTTCATGAACCACTCGGGTGTGAGAAATTAGAGTTTACATTAGCCTCTGTATGCAAGAGGTGAGTTTGATTTTCCGACCACAGAATAAACTACCCCCTTGGAGTCAGTGGCGTAACGGACTTCCGCTGGGCCCCCCTGCAAAATTTTTTCTAGGGGCCTCCTAAGTCGATAAAATTCCAAAATTATCCCCCCCCTCTCCCTTCCTCACCCCTTCCCGTTTTTTCTCGTATGGTCTAGGCCCGCAGCCCGAAAATGTTTGAGAAAATCAGCCTTAACCACCAAAAAATCAAAGTGGCAGCAGCTTATATCTTTTTACCTTTAGGTATGGTATGTGCAGGATTTAGCCTTCTTTTACTTTATGTTCTGAGGTGGAATTTGATTCACTTGCATGTTTGCTCAAATAAATATATTTAAAAAAAAATAAAAACGTAAAAGTACCCGATTAAATGGAACCCCTAAAAGATCAATGATCTAAAGGAAGGCGGGGGCTCAGCCCAGGCCCATGAATCAAAGGGCCCCCAAGGCTTTTACATTCTTGGGCCTCCCAAAACCCGAAATACGAAAAGTGGAATCATTGAGTGGACATGGGAAGGCAGGGGCCCTCCAGCAAACAAAAAGTTAGGAACAGTCCAAGAAAAGTATGAAAAACCCCGAGCTAACAATAAAAATCAAAGGAAGAAGCCCCATCTCGATAAGTAAAGGCCCAAAGTTTGAAACCAAAGCTGAGGATCAAAGAGAGAGAGAGAAAAAAATTCCGGCGGCCGAGGGCCCCCTAGGCGCCAGGGCCCCCCTGCATAGCAGGGTCTGCGGGGGCGCCCGTTACGCCACTGCTTGGAGTACCCAGTTAGGGAGAGTATGAACATCTCTGATATACCGCAAATTCATCAGACCAACCCACTTAACTAATGCCGCTGCGAATAAAGTTACTGCTCCAAAAATCAGCCATCCCTTGAATCCAAAGTAAGTTAGTCGTTGACTTACTTGTTGTTTTGATTTGTAAAAATGCACGATTTTATTAGAATCGAGGATCATTTGAATGCGAATCTGCAATATGAAGTTTTACACTTTTAATCAGTCTTAACTTGAGGAGTCCTCTCAGATTATGATCTTGTTCAATTTTTGGAACAACTAAATGTCATTTCTGATCGCTGCCAGTGGTTGGTAACAATTCTGTGTATATATTTCTGTGATATTTCGTGTGGGAGGATTAGCTACCTACTTGTTACAGCCCTATGGCCTCTATGAAATACTGTATCGATGGCAAAAAACCGAAACCACATATCTTCTTTTGCGACGCGGAAAACCTCCTGTCATATTTTATTTTTTCTCTGGAAAACTAGTCAACGTAATTTCTTTAAAACTTCCTTCATCTCTCTTCGTTTTTAACAGAATATTCTGTGAAAATATCAAGCTAAAATGTTGGCTTGTTTCTCTACGAAAAAATAAAATAGGAGCGGAGATTTTGAAACACCGCAAAGGAGATACGTGGTTCGCACTTTCGCCATCGATATGTAAAATGATCTATTTTAGGCTCGTCAGGCTGCCTCACTCTGTGAGTCCTTTCAATTCAAGAGCTCGGAAGACGCGAGAGAAGTTGAAACGCCTTCAAGTATTTACGGATGCAACACGCACATCCTGAAAGGTCGAATAGTTGCATCCAAGCGTTGATATAAATCTCTTGTTCTCTCGGTATCGCACTTATCGCAGCCACGAATTGAAAATTAAATAATTTTTCGAGGAGTCGATTCATGAACATTCTGTTTCATGGAGTGCAGGTGTTCTCTGAAAGAGAATTTTGAATGAAGTTTAGGGCAAGCAGAGAAATGCGTCAATGCAGAGGCAGACTTTGTCTATTTGTTCAGTGGCGGCTGAGATCCTTCTAGTTTCAATTATTCAAGAGCTCTGACCTTAATTTGAAGATCAAGTTCCATAAGCTTACAACTCAATTTCAGCTGAGCCAAAAGTATAGCCCGCGGAACCATCCTGAAAACTTTCATTTCGCCGAGCTAGTTTTGGAGAACTTGTTCACGAAGAACAACAAGTGAATACGCGCAGAAACGAAACGTTTCGGAAATTCAGTTTACTTTATTTGTGAGATCTGAGGGCGTGTGTAACCCTATAATTTGGGGAATACATTCATGTCCGAGATTGGAAAACACGTAATAGTAAAGTTGTATACCATAAACTGGAGTTGGTTTGCAAATTACTAATGGTTTTGCCTAAAATGGAGGGGCTGAATTTCAAAGAGAGACAAAGAAAGTAAAAAAATCAAACGTATATGTTATTGGCTGGTTGTCATAAACGATTCTGTATTAAATCAAGAACTGCGTGAAGTATTCCGCAAAAATGAAGGCACTTCGAGGATCGCCGTCAGAAGGACTCATCAGGTTAAGGTGCATTCGAAGTGCGCTACAAAAGGATAGAGAGGGGCAAAATAAAACGAAAAAAATATTTTATAATATCCCCAGTCAAAACTCAAGTTGTAAATGACATTAAATTAAGAGAAATGGCTGAAATCGAAAGTAATTCTGAATTTAAGTCGAATTTGAGAACGAGACGAATTTTTGTTTTCGAAGCAAGTTTATGAGCAAATAGAGGTATGCGAGATTCCTTCTATCGTTCTGTGCTTCATAATACCCGCGCACACGTGTGTACTAACATGCCTACTAACATCTTGGCCCAATTTCCGGACGATCCGTAAGAAATATACGCTTCCTACGTCATAAAATGCATTAGAATCATTTCTCTTTCTTGTTGTCGTTCACGGAAATGCAATCATTACTGCGTCACCGCATAAGAAGTGCTGCGCACCGTTTAGATTTTACATAGGTAGGTAAGTTGTTGGTCCATTATGAACGGGACGCGATGTAAAATTATGAAGAACAATGCTGCCATATTCTTAGTAAAACTGCCCTTGTTTATACTGACTCCGATGGAAAAGACGGACAATTTGCCGAGGAACATTGACAGTGCGCCCAGCCCTTATGATTTCGATGACAAAGCCGATTACAACGACATGTGGACCTATTTCTGTCAAACGGGACTACGTGCATTATGGCGTGAGCCCTGTTATGCATGTTTTCTTATGGGTCTCGGGGCTCATGTCTTAATGCGCATAGTTTCGTTTGATAGAAATACGTCTATGTAAGGCTCAATTCGCACACCTATTCGAGAATTTTAGAGACCGCCGAACCGCAAACGAAACACTGGTCATCGATTTTTATGAAAATGGCTTGTAGAAAATGACAGTGTCTAAAATGATTCCAGGGTCCAAGCAAGCTCCTGTCTTGTTTCATGGTAGAACCATACTTTATGAGGCACCAATTGTCAAATAAAAAGACACAGTGGTCTTGAAGCAAAAAAAAAAAAAAAATGCTAGGAAAAGCTACCCAAAAACGGTTTGCAGGGGGTCAGTCTATAGTATTTGTGGAATCAAAATCGTGAAAAACCAAAACCTTGGCTGATCCTAATTGCGAGAATCCCGATTTGAAATTTTTATAACATATGAAAAATTTCTACTGATTTTGATCAGCTTTTTTATTTATTTGTCCATTGAATCGGTGTTAATCAGTTCACGGTTTTATTTTCCGTTTGATTCATGTCGATTAAATAAATACGTGCCCTCTCGTTACATGCTGACTACCTTTCATACTCTTTTTTTTAACTTAACAATTCGCCTTCTGCTATGTCTGCAGCAAGTGTTGTTACGAATATGATGTGCGTGCTGATCTCAGCTCATTACATACTTGACTCTCTGAAGGCGTTTTATGAGTGAGAGTAGAGCAACCTGATGGAGAATAACAGAAGTAAGATAGTATGAATCTCTCAATCCCTAATTCGTTGGTTCTCCGACAGATTGCGCCACTTTAGCACATAAAACGCCTTCAGAGAGTCGTGTATGTAATCAGATAAAATTAGCTCGCACAGCATATTTGTAACAACAATTGCTGCAGACGCAGCAGAAGGCGAAGGGTTAGGTTAAAAAGAAATGTAAAAAATGGAAAAGGAGGGGAGGAATTCTAAACACAAACTAGTTGCCCAGGAGAGGAAACATTTCTCTCCTGTGCACCCACTGGTTGCGGTGAGAAAAAATTTCTCTCCTCTGTGTGAAGAAGTTGTTTTCGAGAAAAATATTTTCTCTCCTGAGCAACTAGTTTGTGCTTAGGAGAGGAATTTATCCGTTCCTAAGCAATAACTAGCTGCTCAGGAGAGAAAACATTTCTCTCCTTCGCACCGAGTAGTTGCCCCCTAGAGAATAAAGAGCCTCCCAAAAAGTGGCCCCTTTTTTGAAACTCGGGGATTTCATTCGTATGCGGCTTAAATGAAACCTTATGATGAGACAGGCCTCCAGTAAAAATTTTAGCTTGAGTATACGTCTGGTTTCCAAGATACAGCGTCGCAAAGTTTGCATATTTAAGCTTTAAAAATTCGCATATTTTCAAATATCTTACTTTAAAAAACAACTCCATCAGATATAATCTGTTATTTTGTGACATTTTACCTACAGTCAGTCTTATCTTTAAATCTATATTCCTATTGATACGGTGATACTGCTGATTCTCTTGATACAACGTTGCAAAGTTGACACCAAAGACCTATAAAAATTGCTCATTTTTGTAAGTTTCTGAATGAAAAAACGAACTTATTGATCACCGAAAGATCTGTGTATAGTGTTTAGATGTAACTTTATAATATGATAAGTCTTTTGTATAGGCCTTACCGCAAGCGTAAGTACAGATTTAATGATACAGCGTTGCTAAGTTTATACATTTGAGCTTTAAAAATGTAAATATTTCTAAGTTCTGCGTTTAAAAAGCTACTTTCGTGGATCTTCTTTAGAATTTGAAGCATGAAATCTACCAAATGTGTCATTTGTAGCTCTATGTTTGTATTTAAATAGAGATACTTTAATTGGTGGTGATACAGCGTTGCCAAGCTAACAACTTTAAACTCTCGAAATTCTTATTTTTGCTAGTTAAAGAGGACGTCAATGGGTGTCAGGCCTTATATCAAGGAAAAATGTCGAGGGCTGAGGTCACTTCCAAGTGACGATTGGTATTCGCAAAAATACTATTGCTAAGTTTATTAATACATATTTTCAAACAATTAATAATAGAATTATTTTAAAATAAAGATGCCTCCAATAATTATTGATACTTAATTTTGTTTTTTTAATTCTATTTTACTGTTCAATTTTTATTTGATTTTTTTTTATTTTTTCAATTATTTACAACATTTTTAATTTTTATCTGATTTTTTTTTATTTTTTCAATTTTTTTCAATATTTTTAATTTTTTCAAGTTTTTTTTAATATTTTTCATTTTTTCATTTTTTTAAAAAAAAAATAGTGGAGGTACTCTATTTGGCAAGGCATAATAAATGTATTCTCTAGATCAATATTTATTTATACTTAAAAAACTCGGCAAATTCTGTATTCTATGTTTATTTTTTTCATTTTACTTAAAAAACGGTTAAATTGGCAACTATGGCGAGGCATAATTTGTTGGATTTTGAAAGCAATGCTGGTGCTGAGAGCATTTCATCGAGCATGGCAAAGCTCTTGAATTTGATTTTGAAATTAGATAATTATTGGAAGTATCCTAATTTTAATGTTATTTTATGATTAAATGTTGAGATAAAAAAAAGATAAATAGGCAACAGTGTCATTTTTTACACCAACTGTCACTTAGAACTAACAAGATTCCTTGTATTTCACTTTACAATATCGAAACATGTTTGATCGGAGTTGTCTCTCATAAGAAAACAAGAGAAAAGACATTTTCAGAGATTTAGGATGTAAACTGTGCAACACTGTGTTACTTGAAATCATTGTAGCCTTTTATCAATGCAACTATGCATCCAAAAGTATCACTAGGGGTTAATTTTATCCCTCAAAACGCAGTTTGATATTCACTAAAAGTGGTTTTTAAACAAGACACTTAAAAATATGAGCATTTTTAAAGCTCAGAAAGGTAAACTTGCAACGTTGCACTACCAAAACAGGGGTCATGCATGAGCTAAAACTTTTGATGGAGGCTTTTTTATCATTATGCTTCATTTACGCTTTGTTTTAGATTGTAAAGTTCACTCTGATGTTGGTTTTAGGAAGATAATATTTGAAACTATGAAGATTTTTAAAGCTTAAATATGCAAACTTTGCAACACTGTATCTCCGAAACCAGACGTATACTCAAGCTAAAATTTTTACTGGAGTCTTAGGTCATCATAAGGTTTCGTTTAGGCCACATTTGAATGAAATCCCCGAGTTTCAGAAAAGGGGCCAAAAAAGGCCCTTTTTTGGGAGGCTCTTTCTCTCCTCTTAATGGAGTAGTTGCCCCCTGGAGAAAAAATGTCTCTCCTCTTAATGGAGTAGTTGTTTTCGAGAGAAATGTTATATGGTCTTTTGGTTCTTACGGTCTATGGTCTTAATAGACCGTAATTTCTGAATAGGAGGAAGTTGTTTCGCAATTAAAATTACCTGTCAACGCTGATGCATATGAGGACGAAACTGGAAAGGAATAGACCGAATATTCGGAAGAATGCCGATATCCTACACAGAGCGTCTCCAGCCACCCAAGAAACAGTCGCCGCCCACGCTATCTCCAGAGGCATCATCAAAAATGTCACCTGCAACAAATAACCTGACAAACAATCACAATGCATTACTCATCGTGTATCAATAAAGTCTGTGGACTTCCTCCCTAATAATTGAGGGGTGACAAAAAAGACGTCTCTGTCATCGCCCTCCAATGTAGCAATCCCCGTGCACGTTCCTGTCAATTTCCGCTGTAAATCAAACCGAGGGGGGGAGGGGGCTGTAAATCCTCAGATGCTACGAGGTCCAAACCAAGAGAGATTCTTTTGAATAAGCACGAACGGCTGAAACGTGGTTTTTCTGGCGGACGGCTTTTCTGATTCCCAATTGCGTGGCGTGCTTTGCGATATATCGATTGAAATGCCATTAAAACCTATTGAAAAGGATCGATAAACAGGGTGTTCGCAGCGAACACTTTAATAATCGATTCTTTACCATAAGTTTAAATGGCATAACAATCGATACATCGCAATTCACGCCACGCCACTGCTGATTCCCCTATGTTCTAAAGTACCCATATACATTCAGTTTGTGTTTGGTAACGTCAAAATTCTGAATTGAAAGCAATTTGTTCAAAAATTTCACCTCTGAAATTCATACGTTTCTACAATGGCCATTCATATAAACCCGTGCCAAGCATTCACGTCGGCGTATAATAATTTAAATGTCGACAAATTTCCTCTCAGAAAAATATTTATTTTTGAAGAAATTTATGAGAATTTTTCCTTGAAATTTGCAGACTTCCCAGATTAAATTTCGAAAGAAATTCTCCGAAAAATCGGGGGAAAATATTCATAAATTTTCCCGAAAGTTTTCGACTTGTCAAAGGAAATTTGGCAACGCCTGACAGATCATACGGCAGCAGTATGGCAGTATGGGTTTAAGAGGTTTATCTAGAAAACGCATCAGTTCTGTAAACCGAACGGTATTGGTGCGCATACCTACGTGACAGCAATGTCACTTCCTTCTTTTGATTCATTTTTTCAAATTGTCATTGGTGAAAAGTTGGTTTTATTTCTATGCCTAAAAGTTTCGATATAAAATGAACCTTACCGTACCTTTCTTTTCTCTTTTTTTTAAATGAAAACATCACTTCATTTTAAAAACATATACATTTTCATATACAGTGATTTGTAAAACCATTTCCGAGCGATGGCATCGATATTAATCTCAATGACCGTAGTTGTGTTGAAAGAAACTATACAAAAATGAAAAAAACGAAAAAAAGAAGCAAGCAATCATTCGTTTTAACCTATTCGTACATAGATCTGTTAGAGTCAATCGTTTTGTTGGGCGTACACCACGCTGTAGCACAGTAAAAGCACAAAACATAAAATAAAAAATTAAAACGCTTAGCAAGTCATTAAATTTGACTCCGACAACCATAATATTTACAACACACATAGTATATTTTCCTTTAATACATATATTTTCCTCCCATCAATTTAAATGAGAATAATCTATGCAGAATGTGCAAACATTTCAAAATCATAAGTTGATAAACGCTGACTCCGCGAGTTTTAATATTAAAGCCTATAACACAGAGCGGAGCGGCGTGTTAGTTGCGCTAAACGCGCACCCGCGCCTACAAACCTAACTGGATACTGCACGCATTGCGCAATGCGTGAAGTATCCCTGTTAGGTTTGTAGGCGTCAATGCGCGTCTAGAGCTAGCCACCCGCCTCGCCGCGGCATGCCACGGCGCCTCAAGCAACTATTTTGCAACAGAGGTGTTGCAAAGTATAATACGAAATTGAAGGCGCTCCAAAGTATTAAGGGTAAAAGGCATCCTCTAAGAGTACGGGGCTTTCCTCGCAAAATAAATCAAGATACTACGGCACAAAAAGAGCGGTAGTCCAAAAACTCACCAAGTTCTAGCACCCGCATTCAATAACGTTCAGCATCATTTTTGAAATTCATCAGAGGAAAAAATGACTCAATTTAGGCAGAAACATTCTTGAGTATGCCGTCAAGAGGATTTTATTTTGAATCAAGAATAAAATCGCTGCATGAAAGCGGGTTTCTGCTCGATGTAAGTGACTTTTCTTTTTATGTAGACATCTTCTCTTCTTTATACAAGCATTATTTTCTTTATTGATTCGTGAGGAAATCTTCTAGGCGGTAAATTTGAGCATATTTTTGCTTGAATCAAGTCATTTTTTCCTCTAATGATGTTCAAAAATCATGCCAAACGTAATTGAATACGGGTGCTTGGCCTTAGTGAGTTTTTCGACTACCGCTCTCTTTGCGTCGTCGTGACTCGATTTAATTTGCGAGGGCACTTCGTGCTTTTGAAATATGCCATCAATCACGATACGTTGCCCTCAATCTCGTATGATACTGTGCAACACCTCCGTGGCGAAATAGTAGCTCGAAGCGCCGCGGCACGCCTGTACCGTCGCGAAGTTATCATACACAGGAAAAATCAAAAGAGCCTTCAGCTGAGGCAAATCAAAAGGTTTATCTGGTTCAGGTAAAACAAATTGGGATTTTCTTAAAAGATAATTAAGTCCTTTCGCACCAAAGAGGTGTAGAAAGTTTTAGGTAGTGAATTTTTCACTCATGGAATTGACGCTCCCCCATTTTTACCAAAAATCTTGATTATATACATAGCTTAAATACCAGCGGATCTTCGCCAGAAGTCCATCTCTGTTGCACCCGGGTCTGCAATTTCATTGGTCATGCCAGCTCCTTTCTCCCCCATTAACAATTGTGGCTACGTCTCCAGCAGCGGAGAGTAAGGGAATAAAGGGAGGGTATGGATTCGATCGACATGAATCGATCGAAAAATGAAAACGTGAATCGATCGACATTAATCAAACGAAACCGATTTGCTCAATGGTTTATTTTTTTAAAAAAAAAACCGTGTCGATTCGATCGACGTGAATCGATCGAAAAACAAGAGCTTGAATAGATTGACGTGAATCAATCGACAAAGATTCGATCGATAGTTAATTTAAAAGAACCCGTGTCGATTCGATCGACATGAATCGACCAAAAAACGAAAACGACAAACCGGCATTGATGCCTACAAACCTAACAGATATACTTCACGCATTGTGCAATGCGTGAAGTATCCCGTTAGGTTTGTAGGCGCCAGTGCGCGTTTAGCGCAACTAACACGCCGCTCCGCTCTGTGCTATAGGCTTTACGACAAACCCGTGAATTGATCGACAAATCCCTGACTCGATCGACAACCCCGTGAATCTATCGACAAACCCATGAATCTATCGAAAATCCCGTGATTTGATCGAATTTTGTCGATCGAATCGGTGTCGATCGATTCACGTTTTCATTTTTCGATCGATTCGTGTCTGTATAATCAACACCAGTTTTTTAATAATTTGTGGATGGAATCGGTGTGGACCGATTCATGTGGATGGAATCCATGGCCTCGGAATGAAGGAGTGCGGGGTGAGTCTTACCAGTAGGTCGGCGATGGCGAGGTGCATGAGCATGGTGTTGATGCGGGAGGTGCGGGACTTCTTGCGGCGGCGGAGGATGATGGTGAGGATGGTGATGTTGCCGATAGCGGAGACGACCATGAGGACGCTGTAGGTCACTATGGAGACGACGTGCCCGGAGTTGAACTGCATCTCGATCGGGAGCTTCGCCGTGTCGTTCTCCAGGATCGGGATGACCGGCCACCCGTCCTTGTCCCGCACAACCTCGTCGCCGGCCATTCCGCTCTCCTGCATTGCATCACACGAGCCCCGACTGTAAACATACAAAAACAACGCACTCCATTAGCTTGATATCGTCGACTCGCTTTCTTCACACAAGGATCAATAGAATCGCATTTAGCAAAAAGGAATCAGCACACCGAAAAAAAATCCCGGTGTATTTACTAAGAAAAGGGTAAAATTACCGAGAATTCAGGGTTCTATTTGATCCCAGTTTTTTCTTGGTAAAATTACCATTTATGGAATTGGTAATTTTACCGAAAGATCTCGGTAAAATTATTGAACTCTCTAGGTAATTTTGCTGGACCTTGGTAAAAACGCCTATATTTTTTATCGACTGTGGTAGAATTACCGAGATAAAATGGCAAAGTTACCGGGAATTGATTACCAATAAAAGTGGTATTCTTACCTGAAAAACAGTAAAAATACCGGTTTTTAGGTAAGCTTACCAGTCTGTCTTGGTAGAATTACCAATAATTGGTAAAAAAAAGTGAGATGGTAAAGGTACCAACGGACCTCGGTAAAAACGCCGATAATTTTTTTCAGTGCACGATTACAGTATTTTCAAAATGGTGCACTTCCTATTTTCTTTTAAAAATAATCTCTATTGTAATAAAACCATTTTTAAGATGCTCGATGGACGGGGTAAGGAAGGAGAGTAAGACGGTCCAAAGGTCGAAATCCAAAGAAGGAATCCAAATTCAAAGTAAGGAGAAAGTCATTGAGAATATTGTTTGGCGGGAAATTTTTCCCTCCATTACACCTAGTTATACCAAACCCAATAAATTAAATAATTTTCCATTCTTTCTGTTTACAATATAACTTTTCGTTGAGTATAACTTGGGATGGCGTGGCATCCGAAGCGTCGTCGTGTCGCAGTTCGGAGCAAAGCAGATGAAGGAAAGTCAGAGCCCCTTCAAATTTGAGAGTATGCAGCACGGATATCCCTCGACCCTCGAGCACGAATAGTTGTATCAAAGCGATGGATCGACCTCGCCTCTCTATCATTGCGTTGGTCGAGAGATTGAATGACTTAGTGTGAAACCACGATTCAATTAAAAAGTTTAAAAAAATGCGGTCTACCTCTCTTTAAAAACACTTAAGAGCCGCATTCTATTGACCTTATCAGGGATTTAGGTTCTCGAAGTGCAGTATAAATAAAAAGGGCCTACAATCTTGCATTTATAGGATAATGGAGATGCTGCATGTGTGAAGGATTTGCGATTTGACTATTGATTCTTATGTAAAAGTTCGCGAGAAACACGATGGTGCTACTGGTTCTCTCTGAAATCATCTCCAAAGCTTAAAAGAAGCTCTCAAAGTGAGGCCAAAATGGAGGGGACATCCCACCGTACCCTGAGAGTCCACCTCTACATCAAAACAAACTCTCCATGCAAAGGTAGGGACGTAGGGAGCAAATACATTAGCAGGGTTGACATTTCACTGGGGACTCGCAGAGGGACTCCAAAACTGAAAACACGGCAACCCTGCTTATGTATTGGTTCCCTATCTTTGCATGGAGAGTTTGTCTTGATGTAGAGGTGGACTCTCAGGGTACGGTGGGATATTCCCTCCATTTTGACCTCACTTTGAGAGCTTTTTTTGAGCTTGGGAGATGATTTCAGAGAAAACCAGTGGCACCATCGTGTTTCTCGCGAACTTTTACATAAGAATCAATGGTCAAATCGCAAATCCCTTACACATCGACGGTGTAAGTCGGCAATCACATAACTCGGTTTGCGACGTCGCAGACTTCCTCTCATACTTTATTTTTTAAATGGTAAACTACTCAACGGCAATTCTTCAAAACTGTCATGATTTTTCTTCTCAATACGAAGAAAATTCTGCAAAAACTTCAAGAAATAATGTCAATTTGTTCTCCTTTAAAAAAATGACGTAGAGGCGGAGATTTTCAGACACCGCAAACGAGTTATGTGATTACCGACTTTCACCGTCGACATGCAACATCTCCATTACCTTTCTCAAAATCTATCTTGATGACAATGGTAATATTGAAATTACGTTTTATTTACAACAATTATGGAAAGATATTAAATTATTGTGCCATCTCGTTATACTATAAAGTTAATATTATATTATCTGCAATTAGCCCTTGTGTGCTTTTCATGAATGCTCTCTTGCCTCCGCTGAACCAAGATTGCAATATGCGCCTTTTCATTTGTTCAGTGATGTCCAGAATGTTCAATTTTACGGCACAGCTTCATTAGGCGCGAAGCACCGCCGCGCCGGGACCTTGTATTTCACATATTCTCAACAACAAAAGCAAAAAGGGAAAATAATGAATTGACTTCTCACCTGAAAAAAGGGAGAAAAAAGGCAGAAGAATTGAATCAACCCACCTTAGTAAAAACGGGTTGTTTCCCCTCCCTTTGCTTGACCAATCAGGTGGGAGGTTCTCCTCCTCCTCGACTTCTGAATATCATTTATTCGTTATTTCCTAGGCTTTTAGGGTCGAATTAAATTTATGCTGCGGGGTTCATATTTCCATCCTCCATGCAGTGGCAACAGTAATGCAATTTCCGAAATTCGGAAGGACCCTCTCACGATAAGTTCGGCATTATATCTGCCGTGGTAAGGAAAAACGCCGTGTAAACATCCCGATGTAACCAAAACCCTTGTAAAACATGTATTTTTGAGGAAATTTTGGATCAAATGAACCACGAGACAAGGTACAAATTTAAGCATTCTGATACATGATTCTTAACCAGAATTTCACGTAAAACGCGATTGGCGCAACGAAAAGTAATGAAACCAACTCCTAACGGAGATATTAACATTTTTATTTCACATTGGTTACAAGGAATTTGAACTGCCCGCTCACAAGAAATACAAAGCTCTACGCGAGTCAAATCGCGCACTACAACGGTTTCAGCAAGCCTCTCAATCGAGCAATGTACATTTCACACCATGCGTTTTTCAAACTATAAGTAATTTGCTATAGCTGAGCCAAAGCGTCAAGATTGAGGTTGCCAGATTTTTTTATAGCAGAGACGTTCATGATAACGTTTAGAGCGCGATATGTGAATTACGTAGAGCATTGAGTTTTCATGAGCTGGTGGTTTCAATGCAAGCACCAAGAATCATTAAATATCTTCGGAAGGAGTTGATTTCTGTTATTTTCGTTGTGAGCATCGTATTTTACGTGAAATTTTGGTGAGGAAACATGTAATAGAATGCTAAAATTCGTACCTTATCTAGTGGTCCATTGCTAACGAAATTGTCTGAAAAATTTGGAGAAAAATGTTCAACAATTTTCCGGTCAATTCGTTTTTTATCGAAGGAGATTTGGCAACTCGTGAAGGCTTATACGGCGGTTTCACCTTGCAAGGCAAAGATAGCCACATCCATTACATTTCAGAGGTATTTTATTCCCTTGAACGACCTTTGCAAGGCTCGTGTTTTGTATGTATAGTCGGGTGAGTGAGAAGGGGAAGGTTCCGCACCTCTGCAACACTTTTGATCTATAGAGCTGAATATTACTCTAACGATGAACCGCGTGAAAGACCTGAGCTACGGCACTTAAGTATAACATCTTTCATCAAAAATTAACATGAGAAACGACTCGCTGTGCAAAAGCTTTGAGGAAAGTTCGTAAGTGAAAGATTGGCGCCAGCATCTGCATTCGTGCAGCACAGAGTGAATGACAACATCTGTTCAGCTTTCTATAAATATTTAAAAGTAAAGTAAAGTATTTGACGTCTTGACGCTTTCTAGATTTGCTCGTTTGACTTTTGAATCAAGCAAATATGAAATTTTGATGGTAATTTGATAAAATTAGATTTCTTACTTTTAGAACCGACCCTTGACGAAGTGAACCATCAGCTCACATCACAAAAAAGCTTCAAAAGATATAATTTCTTAATTTTTCAATGGTGGTTCTCTAATGGTTCACTTTCTAGATGGAAGTTTTGATCACAAAAAAATCTGCTTGCCCTAGTGGTCAGCGCGGCTGACTCTAAGTCAGTAGGTCCCGGGTTCGAATCCCAGCAGTGGCGTCATATTTCCACGGAATTGACGATTGAATCTGCAGAAACAGATTCTCATCGGTTTTAAATCCCTGATTTGAATAGCTTAGAGCATGTGTGTGCTTAAAAGTCCATGATGTCTACGGACAATGAAAAGTATATAATAACACATGTGTCTATAGATGGATGTAGATTCCTACTTTAATAAATAAAGGAAAAGAAGCCAAATAAATTTTAAAAAAAGAGTACTCAATAAAAAGTCGTCTAAATACAGTTAATTTAAGACTGACACCCGGCAGACGAAAAATCTTCACCGTAATTTTTTAACGCCACCCCAAAATGTTCGAAATCATTTTGCTATCAAGTTCATTCCTAAAAGCCGTTTATGTTTTTCTGTAACCCCCCCCCCCCCCGCCCCTCCCTATGCCTCATTATAAAACAGGGAGCAAAGAATAAAGTCCGGACAGAGCTCAGAGTCACACCATTTTTTAAAGCATCATGTTAATTTTCAGGTCCATCACAACAGGTGGAGTTACACAGGGTGATCTGAAAGTCCTGTTCCGCCAGCACCTGGGATCACTCATGTAACTTCTTAACAAATTGAAGTAGAGATTTGAAATTTTGTAACCTAAAGCCAAAGGAAACGACTTCTAAGACCTTCCAAAATTTTAAGGGGAACACCCTGAAAAGGGACAAGAACCCTGGGATGGCTATGAGGGTGGTGCGAGACTTTTCGATCACCCTGTATAGAACACTGGTCCGCCACTGTGCATCCTGACGCTGTGCCGAGCTTCATTTTCGATGATCGGTGCACTCGACACTCAACAGGCTGCGAGCGCTATTGAGTTACTTAGGTCAGTTCCGGGTATTTTGCACCTGTCTAAAATACACCGCATTGACGAAGCTAATTATTGTGCTGGGCTGCTGGGGATTCAGTTACTCGTGGTGCTCGCTTCGCTATACTTTACATCGATTGCGTATCCATCGTTATTAGGTTCTCTCTCTCTTTTGACTTGTATTGGAGGATAAATTCATCTGGGTGAATGTG